GTGTGTGTGTGTGTGTGTGTGTGTGTGTGTGTGTGTGTGTGTGTGTGTGTCTCCATCCTCCCTGTATGTCTGTGTCGCTTTCCTCTCTGGATGTGCACACACACACTCACTCTCACTCACACACACACACACACACACCCACAGCCTCTCTCTATGGAAACGTGGACAGACCCACTGCTGTCTAAAGTGCCATGATTGTTTCTTGGCTTTCTGTCTCTGGGTGGATGACAACAGGCATCGAATTTGTGATGCAACACACCCATATATGGAGGAAGCATATTACATATACATAGATATATATACATATATGGCGAGCCTTGCACGTGAGAGGCACAGTGGAGGTGGAGTTCAAAGAAGAATGAGAAATTTAATGGTTTCAATCTTCCCTTGTTTTTTCTTTTTGTTTTTATTTTTGCATGTTATCACTGTGCCCGTTTTTTGCTTTTATTCTTTGTTCCGCAAAGTGCGCTCTTTTAGTTTGTAGTGATGTGACAATATATATGCCCATATATTTATAATTTTATATTATGTACATCTGTATATATTGCAAGGAAAATGAGCGATAGCGAACTTCAGAAACCAAGCAGCATCATAAACATGAGACCAGATAGTCGTGACTTCGAACCAAAAGCAGAATTGCAACACGAGTCCCACCAAATAAGAGCACAGCAAAAACTCATAAGTGACAATGTTCGAATAATCTCATCATCATCAACAAAGAACCAATGTCGACATCCTATCTGGCGCTCTGCGCCCAGACTACAAATGGCAGATCCCATCTAGTCTATCTACAATGCCGCTGGTGACGTCAACAGCTAGCCGAAGTACAAGCAGATCTCGGCCGATGCCGTTCGCCTCAAGCACCAGGTATGTCTCTCGTATCACTCACAACCTCGATCCCCCACTCACAGATGCCACATGCACCCAAGGACCACCATGCGCCTCATCCAGCTATGCAGCGCAGCTCGGCTATGGCTGCCTGCCTCTCCCAGCTCGCCCGTGAATGCGTGAGCCTGGCCAGCGTTTAGCGCAGCATGCAGCCAGTGCCCGAATGAGGAGTGCGGGGGCAGGCACTTTCCTAAATGGAAGTCGCCTGCCTGCTGCGTGCGACCTGGCTGTACCGGCCCCGGCCCAGAAGCTTCCGGTAGGCCCCGGGAGGCTGAGCCCCAGTCTGAACGAATCAGGCCCGGGGCCTGTGACAGTTACCCATGCCCAACTGCCCGGAGCCTGAGTTGGGTCCTTGTTGCGTATTTCGCCCAGGGCCTGACTCAGATGCATTTGATAAAGGTAGCCAGGGCCTGGGCGCTTTCAACCAACTGGCGCTGTATACAACTGCCTGAATTTCCCCAGTAGCGTGGAGGCCTGCCTTCACTTAGGGCGGCCGACTGTACTGAAAAGAGGGCCCAATAGGGCTTCTCGAGGCCTTGAGCCTCGCAATATACACATACATATATACATATATGACGATATATACACATAATACGAAACAGTCTGTCACAGCCCCTCGTCTGTTGTTCTTTTCTCCCTCTCTGCCTACGGTGTCCCGGGCAGTTCTGTATCATGATTTATCTATCTATCTATCTATCTATCTATCTATCTATCTATCTATCTATATCGTCACAAACAGAACTGCCCGGTAAACCGTAGGCAGAGAGAGAGAAGAGGACAACAAACGAGGGGCTGTGACAAACTGTTTCGTCGGAGTTTCACCGACTCATATATATATATATATATCGTCACAAATAGAACTGCCCGGTAAACCGTAGGCAGAGAGAGAGAAGAGGACAACAAACGAGAGAGAGAGAGAGAGAGAGAGAGAGAGAGAGAGAGAGAGAGAGAGAGAGAGAGAGAGAGAGAGAGAGAGACCTTTATTAACCACCCAAAGAGAGAAAGGGTGGTTGTTCCATTCTGCTTCATGAACGGCTTTATTGCCATGTCAGACAGCTTCATGGGTACGGTGCTGTTTTTACTGATATTCTTTTCCCTTTTTTTCCCCGATCAATGGTATTTTTGCTGTCTGGTCTGATATGCTTTTCACAAACGAAAAAAAAAAAAAAAAAAAAGAAGTTTTCACAAATGTTATACTGGAATGGTCTCCTAGGCCCAGATCTTCAGCAGGGTACGAGGATCCAGGAATGGAAACCAGCACATACTCGACAACAGCACAGGTGCTTTGCAGACCGCTAACCTTGACAGATGAGAGAACGGAGGTCTTGAGCGGAGACCTAGGCCCAGGTCTTGAGCGGAGACCTAGAAGAAGTGAGGGTCTGGCTTACCAAAGACAGCAGAGGGGTGGAGCAATGCATGGGAGGAGTTTCAGCTGCCCTGTATAAAATAGAACCATTTAATTATGCGTGGAAAGTTGGAAACTGAAGAGTCAGCAGACAGAGCTGCTTCCACTGGTAGAATACTCACCAAGAATCGGCCAAGATATACAGAGATCTAGAGTAGTGAAATCCTCAACAGTGATGGCTCGCAGAAGATGGGATGATTACTGTCCGAGTCTGATGACGGGGCGGGACCTACAATGCTTGTGGACTCAACTCAAGAAGATGACCAACCAGAAGACAGCTGCCCTGCTCTGGCTGCAATCCCTCCTGGTTGTGGCCTCAGCCACATGGTTATCTACAAAGGGGCTGAATATTGTCCAAACTTGCTCGCATTGCAAGTGTGCATGGGAAACGACAGCACACCTATGGATTCACTGTCCGGTGTCAATAAGACTGCGGCAGTGGTGGCGGCGTCATTGGCAGGCCATCACGGCAGACATTACTCCCCAAGTAGTGGAATGGACAGACACCTGGATCTTGACCGGGAAAGGCTTGAGGCAGAAACCATATTCCAAGGGGTGTGGGTATGTAGCACAAACATGCAGAGGAGAGTTGATGGGGGTGATCTGGCAGACCAGGAACGCAGCCCTTTTTCAGGGTCGCCCCCATACCCTGTCGGTAGTGAAGCCCCAGATAAGGGAAGTTATCAGAGCTGATTGGCATTCGAAGAATAAAGTTTGGTTCTTGGATACTTGGGCACTGGCAAATCACTTGACAAAAAATTCGGGTAATTCGGAACTGGTGATAGGACCATGGCTGAGTTCCTGAGATCGATCCCGATACAGCGCCACAGATCCGAAGTGGGGATGTGGGACAAAGACTGAAGTCAAGGTTTAACGTAAGGTAGGAGAGAAAGCATGGTATTTTGGGGCCGAGAATAGGCCTCTGTAAGCAAAGCCGGGTAATGCTCCCGGTTATGAACAAGAAGTTGTTACTTGGTGCTAGACGACTAGGAGAGCTACTCTAGTTAGGAGTCATGAAGTAGAGAGGTTGGCTTCTGAAGGAATAGCAGGCTATGACAGAAGTATGGGACACTGGACCCGGTTTCCAATCTGCCTCGATTGGGGGCAAGGATAACATTTACCGGGTTGAGATTTGGAGGGATTCCCGACCTCCTGTTGTTATATAATGAAAGACTGCTATTGCCTTTAAAATTAAAAAAAATAAAAATAAAAAATACTGGAATGGTCATGAGCGACCTAAAATCACATCTCCAATCTCAGGGCAGGATTCATTTTGGTTCGTTATATCTGGATGCTTTGCTTGATGGGCCGTTTGTCTGCCATGTCAGAATGCTATATGAATGCTGTGGTGCCCTGCTCACGGCTTCAATGATCCATCACACCCCTCTATAGATAACGTCACACTGGTGCACTGATTGATGGTCACACCATTCAGTTGCATAATAATTGAATTTTCATAACCTCACCCCGCTGAGGGCGGTCTGGGACCACACACAGCTTGAATGACACATCACACTATGCGAGGGAAAGATCACATTACCTGATTTACACAACAGCTCCCTGCTCAACGACACAATACACCCAGCTGAATTAGGGTGGGGTGTAAAAAATTACACACTTGCACAATTGTCATAGTTGGAAGGGGAAATCGGGGGGAATGACAGCAGGAATTACCATCTCAGCTTCCAAGACTGGACTGGACGCTGGGCCTGCCGTCGATAAATTGGATCGGTGGTTGCATTTTCATTTCGCGCTTCCAGAATTCGAGGTGTCAGGCCCACGGCCCAGGTGCCCATGCACTGGTGCTTTAAACCACCAGTACATGGCCCCAGGCAACTGGAGAACCTGTTTTGAGCCTCTCCGAACATTTAGGAGGCCGACCGAGCAGCGTATACAAAATGAATCGGCGGTGGGAGGCCTCCGAAAGGGACCCGTGGCCGATCGCTGGCATGTACTGGTGGTTTAAGAAAAACTTATGTGCTAGGGCAGTCTGTAGTATCCAGCAGCCACGTGTGGGCTGAAGAGGCAGGTCTAGCTTAATCAGTTGCTTGCTTTGGTCTCAGTATTCTCAGTATCCAAAAACACGCAGGTTTCTGGCAGAATGGGCGAGGGTTAAAGGAAGGTTGGGAGAGGGGATGGATGAGCATGGGGTCTGGAGGACAGGCTGCCTGGTCTGCCAACATCAGTGTTAAAGTGAGGAGCTGGGACTTGCATTCTATGTTGTTGTTGTTGTTGTTGTTGTCGTTGTTGTTGTTGTTGTTGTTGTTGTTGTTGTTGTTGTTGTTGTTGTTAATAAAATAAAATAAAATCCATTAATAGCTTGAAATTTGAGGCCAAGGAGTCACGAGGGCCTCACCATTCCACCCGGAGTTATCCTCGCAGCCTTAGCCAGTTTCGCTTATGATCAAGATCTGGCCGTCTTCCTATCCTTTTTTTTTTTTCAATAACAAAAACACTCGCGACAATGGATAGGAGTGATGATAAGAGCATGCACTCTGGCCATCTTCCTATCCTATTCCTGTGTGCCTTCCTTGGTGGTTCCTAGTCTCCTCTCAGCTGTCGCCCCCGAGGATGAAGGCCAGGTGGGACTTGGATGCTTCTTAGGCAACTTCTGTAAAGATTCAGTATGAGGGACTCTGGGGCCGTTTTCCAGCAGGTGCAGCTTCCCACCAATAGATTGGAGCCATCAGATGGCCTGCAAGTGGGGGGGCCTCGTATCACCATCGCTAGCAGTGCCAACTGGTGTTCAAAAAAAAAAAAGAGTGTTGTCTACAGAGCTTGTATTTTGCAGTGGTATTGTTGCTTTATGGATATGGACAGGGGTTGGGAGTTAATCACAGTGAAGAAGGATGGTTATCACGAGATGGCTATTATTCATGTGAGGAGGGGGGGGGGGGAGGAGAGGCAGGGTTGGTACCGGATCCTTATCAAGGGCTGATAAATGGTAAGGTGCGGAATGTCCATATCTCATTATTTCAGTAGTTTATAGATCAACAGGGCAGCCAGTCCCCTCGTGCGAGGGCAATCAATGCTGCCCTGCGATAATATCAACGCTTTAAAAGGCTATTCGGAGATTGCGGCCCATTTGACCAAGCTTCAATGCGAGGATCGGCCATTCAGGCCATTCGACGTCGGTGATGACGTGCGGGCTTCCTTTTTGGCCCTCAAAGCTGCCTTGCTATCCGCGGAGGTTTATGCATCTACGACCCGCTTTTGCCAACGCGCATCACTACCGATGCGTCTGGCTATGGCATTGGTGTCGTCCTCGAGCAGCACGATGGCGTGGACTAGCACCCGGTCAAATACTTTAGTAAGAAAGTGCCCACCATGCATTCGATTGATGACGCACGGTAGGAGTCCTTAGCCATCGTACACACACTTAAGCGGAGGCGGCATTTTCTTCTAGGTCGAAGTTAATTCCGATAAGTAATGAATAACAATCTGTTGGTCTTCTACAAGTGTAACAATCTGTGGCCCAATCTTTTCAGCAATGTAACAATTTCAGTGTGCTTAAGTGTGCGCTCAACCCCCCCAGCACGTGCTCAAACACGCTCAATCCCATTTCGGGCGTGCACGCGCCCTAAAAAATGAGTGTGCGCACCTGGCGGGGGCTTGCGCGTGGAGGGGAACATGTGGGGGGCAGGGG